TTCAGATTTTTTCGCAAATTTTGAACAAAAAAGATGATTCAGAACTTTTCTGTGAAGCTGATAGTTTTTGTAATATAAGCGATACATATGAAGAAGTGCCAACTATGCCATTTTCGGCCCTGACAAACAATACGGCAAATTGAAAATTTTAACGTTTCCAAACTTCCATTATATTCGATAAACATCCATTAACAAAATCTCAAAATATTATAGGGAGTGCGGTTAATGTAAGTCTATGTTTTCTCTCACACTCGTTCAGAAATATATGTACACTAAGATTGCGCATGATGAGCAATAAAAAATGACGTCAAGCGCCTTCGTTCATATTCGTAAATTTCAAAAAGAAATGTCCACTTAAGTACGATGTATATTTCTGCGAAAGGTTGGGAAATCTCGAAACTGGAGATACCACAGACCAAAATATGTGAATTGACCTAAACATACACGTAGTCCAAAAGTTGATAGTTTGCGAGATACATAAAGTTACAACTTTATTTTCTGTTTTTTCTTATTGCTTGAGAACTATTCCAGATTTTGGCATAAAACTCGGCATAGGGAGGTTTTTTAGTATGAGAAACAAGAATCCGTTATTTTTTATGGCGAAACTTCTAGAGTGCGGCATTTACAGCATTATTTCGATAAATAACTTATCATAACTTTCTTGTTTTACCCTGTATACAACAACTGATCGAAAAATCTGATTTTCTCGTATTTCCATAACAAAAAATGTTTACATGCTAGAAGTGTTTAAAGCTAATAGTTTTCGAGATATTTGTTTTTAAAAGTTCCAATGCATTATGTTTATCATGATGATAAAACATTTTCATAACATAATAATCATGTTGCTTTGAATAATATCTGAGTAGCGTTGCTACGGTTTTTAACAATAAAAAATGAGGATGGCAACAAAACTGGTAAACGTAAATAATAACTACAACTCTTCAAAATGAGCACCATCTTGCCTAGTACTCTCGAGCTAGACGAACTAATCCTTGCTGCACTCTCTAAAGCATTTGGATGTTATTTTCTATTTCCTGGATATGGTGGAATGTTCTTTATCGAAGATCATCTACAGGTTCCACTGGCGTATTGTAAACGCATGCTTTTAAATCACCCCAGAAGAAGAAATCCATAGGATTTAAATCTGGTGATCTAAACTCTGGGCGCTGAAGAAAGACATTAAACGTAAACAGTGATCAGCACGTGAACAGATCCCTCGAAAGCATCCACGGATATACTCCAGACACTTTAGGTCTAAACATCCTCGGCAGTGTATTTCTAGTGAATCCACAGACCCTTTTTTGTGTCATCTTGAGACTAGAAAAAGGATGACTGTTAAAATAAGTTACCTTGATCTTTCATGAGCTCCCAGTACAAAACATCATCGATATATTTTTGATGTAGGAACAACAAATTGGTTTAGAAAACATCCACTTTGAACCTAAATTGACTGGAGTAACATCGATCTACAGACAAATTCAAGGTCACTAGCAGTCGTCGGCGCTCTACGAATCTGCACAGGTTTGGACTTGTAAACGTGATTGTAGATGACACGACAGGCATCTAACAGTTAATTCACGCACAGGATTGCATTGCATACGCATTACGCATTCAGTAGCGTATACTCATTTTTCGCGAGTGGAACGTTTTGTTTATATATTGCCTAAGATACGATGTCTGACACAGATACAGCCGACGAAGTGGTTGACATCAGCGCAACCCCACCCAAAAAAAGGGCTAAGAAGCTACATTTAAGTGCAAATGAAAAACAAATAATATTAAATATATACAAAAACCAAATTCAAGAAAAACCCGATTTGGTCGTGGACGAAGTTATATGTAAGGTAGCACATATTTCTGGAGTATGTCGGTCCAGTGTTTATAGGATCATTAAGGAATATAGGAGCAATCACTCACTTTCTGAGCCAAAACCGTATCCTGCAAGAAAAAGGATAACGGACGGAGTAGATGACTTTGACAGAACTGCCATCAGGAAGAAAGTGCATAATTTTTTCTTCCGAAATGAGATACCTACAGTAGATAAGATATTAAGATTAGTTAATGCTGATGAGGATCTTCCATCATTTAAAAGAACCACATTCCGAAAACTTTTGAAGGAACTTAATTTTAGATTCTTGAAACGGGGAAGAAACAGTATGTTAATAGAGAAAGACGAAATTGTTGTGTGGAGAAGGGAATACCTTAGGAAGATTCGGAAGTTTCGCGATGAAAAAAGAAAAATTTACTATTTGGACGAAACGTGGGTGAATGCTGGACATACTCAAGCGAAAGTTTGGGTCGACAAATCAGTAACATCATCAAGGCAGGCTTTTCTATACGGTCTTTCGGCTGGATTGAAAAATCCTGCAGGTAAGCTCCTTCATCTATCCGGCAATTTAATTTTGATAAATTCGGGCAAATAATATGCTGTGATAGCAGATAATGTGTGATATTCTCCAAAAATGGTGCATTCGCAGTGTAGTCATTAGGAAAAAAACTTCGACCCTCTTATAAGCGTTATTTTGAAATTTATTATCATTTTTGGGTGCAGTCAATTTGCTTTGAATGGGTTTTGAGAAGTTGCAAACTTCAATTTTCTACGTTTTTCAGTTTTTGATCAGCATTCCGTGACTCTTAAATTCAGCTAAATGAACTCAATTGCCTCATTCCTTCAAATTTAATCAATCCATAGTGTAAGGAATAATTTATTTCCAGGAAAAGGCAAACGGCTGATCATTTGTCACGTAGGTAGTGAAGACGGCTTTGTTCCCGAAGCACTGTGGGCCTTTGAATCAAAAAAGACAGGGGACTATCATGAGGAGATGGACGGCAATTCCTTTGAAAATTGGTTCTCCAAAATGTTACTAAAGCTGGAGAATAACGCTGTTATTGTACTGGATAATGCCCCGTACCATTCTAGAAAAATAGAAAAAATTCCCACAATGGCAACTAAAAAAGCAAACATACAACAATGGCTGGCCTCAAAACAGATCGATTTTGATGAAAAAATGGTCAAGGGTGAATTGATAAGTATAGTCAATAGACATAAATACAAATACGATTTTAAAATGATCGACGAAATGGCCAAAAAACAAAATAAAACTGTCTTGAGACTGCCACCCTACCATTGTGAGCTGAACCCTATTGAGCTGATTTGGGCCAACATAAAGCAATACGTGGCGTCGAATAATAATACTTATAAATTTTCTGATGTTAAAAATCTCTTTCACATCGCAGTCAATAGAGTTACGGCAGAGGAATGGAAAAACTGTATCCGCCACGTTCGGGAGAAGGTTGAGGTCAAAATGTGGGATTTGGACAATGTCATCGATACCCAAATTGAACCTCTAATAATTCATTTAAACGATTCAGAAGATTCAAGTTCCTCTTCTGAATGAGTGCGCGCAGCTTACTTACTAATAACTAAAAAGTGTAGTTAACTCATTTGTGAATCTCTAACTGAAATTTACTGTAAAAGATAATAATTATCTTGTATGAAATTTTTGATGACTACCCATAATATCTTGATGCGGTCCTATAATGTCTCCTGCGCCTAAACACTCACTCACGAGCAATATGCGTGTATTTGTTTGGGTTTAGTTTCTTTCTTCAGCGCCTAGAGTATAGACGGTCACATTACAGGTTCTGATCGGCCTGCCCACTGGTCTGGATAAACTGTATTTAGGTGGTCTCTAACTAATATACTAAAATAAGGTGGAGCGACGTCGTGCATGAACCACATATTCATGCGTGTACGTACAGTTCTGGGAGCTCCACTATGTCGGTCCATATTTTGAGCAAAACTACTTTGAATTCAAAATAGTTTTTACTACTCAAAATAAGGCTGTAATCATTTCTTACAAGTTTCTCGTAACCGCTGATCGATTCGTTGGAAAGTCTTTGAATTAGGCAGGTATCTATTAGGGAATCTGTCAGCATACAGTCTTCGTGCTTTTAAAGCATTACATCTTGCCAATCCGTACACTAAATGCATATCAGGATATTCATCAAACCCCCATGATGTGTAACAACTTATTGTCAATTTGAAATTATTCATGAAGTTAAAGCAATATTATGACAAACATTAGAAACCATAGCAACGGTACTCAGATGTGTAAAGCAACTTGATTATTACTCGTATGTTAAAAAATTTTTTTAACATCATGGTACAAATAATGCATTGGAACTTTTAAAAACAAATATCTCTAGAAGTTTGGCCATAAAAGTTAACTGATTCTTGTTTCTCGTACTAGGAAACCTCCCAATACCGAGTTTTATGTAAAAATTTGAAATATATACTTCTCAAGCAATAAGGAAAAATAGAAAATAAGGTTGTATCTTAGAAAACTAGCAACTTTTGGACTGAGGTATGTTCAGGTCAATTCACATAGGTATTCTGGTCAGTAGTATCTCCAGTTTCGAGATTTCCCAACCTTTCGCAGTCACCCTGTATAGTATATGGAAAATATGTGTAATATTAGTGCCTTTCAATAACAAAATGCCTTTCAATTATACCAAAATGTATCATCCACAACCATTCACCCGTAAAATTTTCAACCGCACCATAACATTTCTGAACATGAGCAGGGATATCTGACTCGTCGGGACACGGTATTTCAGCGATTTTTGTTGTTCTTCCGGAGCTCCACCGTTACCGATTTCATTTTCAAGACCTGCAAGGCTTGTTCGTTCGAATGGATATGAAAATAGTTCGTATGGGGTAAAATTTGTTGCAAGTCCCCTATCATGTCCTGGAAGGAATACGGCGAATTACCAGTAAAACTGCATAACTGATTTTGTTTTATTATGGTACAACCACCTCTTTGATCTTGTGTTGTTATTGCGGAACAATTTGGCTGAAAATGTTTTTCCTAGTACAACTGAAGACAGGCAGGTTATGAACGGGATATCTTCAAGTACTTTATAATATTCTTGGTATCTCCTAGTTACATTTTTGTCTCTACGGCTGTATCAGTATAAAAATGGATAGCACTGATGTAGTTTCACTTTATTGTCAGGAGAAAGATACATTATACACAAAGTTGCACTATTAGTTAACAGCTTTTAAGACAGTTGCAGAGGAGAAAGCTATCCTTGTAACCTACAACAAATTTTGCAGTTAGTAGTCCAATATGGTCATTTTGTACCCGCACCCGTATTATGTAAAATAATCGTTATTATATAGATTTGATCGCCATAATTTGCACTAGGTACTAGCTAGTGGGACAGCCTACGTCATGCCTACTTGAGGTGAATACCACTTATTGAGAAATACCATAGTAAACGTCATTCCGGCAATAGTATAGAACATTCAGCTTAGACCAAAGAAGCTAAAAATTGGCCTCAAGTGCCATCTCTGAAGCAAAGTTAAACACATCACACCGACATCTCGTATTTGACGATTAAACAACACACAAAGCAACTACAAGTGAATGCTTGCTAGTACGTAATAGCAATTCAGGCGATCATGAGCATCGAATTCAGACTATGTAGAAGAAGTAAGTCTACGATTGTAATTTAGGTTTTTCGGGCTGTTGAGCCGTGGTCGGGTTGGATTTGGTCCATAGCTTTCGGCTACATCTGCGGTAGCCATCTTCAGTGGCGCTGTCAGCGAGAGCGAAGTGCTCGGCTTGGCGGGTCGACTGAAACTGATCGGTTAACTGGCTGAGCGTGCGGTTTTATAGGCGATCGGCAGACTGAGGACTGAGTTGTCTGGTGGGGGTACTCCGGGTCTCCTGAGTGACGTGGATTTTGCGCTGTGTTTCTTAGAATTGGGAACCACGTTTTGTTTAAAGCAAGACCTTCTTCTTTTCTATTAAAATTATCATTGTGCTTATAGATTTCAATTGCTTCTCTGTACATTCGGGCTGAGTAGTGGGTGGATGTTGATAAGACTTCAGTTTGGTCGAACCGAACATTGTGGCCGTCTTAGAGTGCGTGTTCGGCCACCGCTGATTTATCAGTTTGTTCCAGTCGACAGTTTCTTTCATGCTCCTTGATGCGTGTTTGGAAGCTACGCTTAGTGGTGCCTACGTATACTTTACCACAGGAACACGGTATTCTGTATACGTCGGTACCGCTCAGGGGGTCCCTAGGGTCCTTTACCGATGTTAGGAGTTGCTTGATGTTATTTTTCGGCTTGTAGTTGGTCTTCACCCTTCGTATTCTATCCGTGATGCCTTTAATGCATGGTAGGAAGGAGACTCCCGCAGGTGGTTCCTTGTCTCCTGCCGGAGGTTTGCTGTTTTGTCGTGAAACCTGTTCTATTTGTTCCCTGCGATAGCCGTTTGCTTGTAAAACCATGTTAACATGATCCAGTTCTGCCTGCGGTATTGAGGTTCACAAATTCGATGTGCCCTGTCTATCATATTTTTAATGACACCTCTTTTTTGCCCAGGATGATGGTTGGAGTCCTTGTGTAGATATCTGTCAGTGTTTGTTGTTTTGCGGTAAACCCAGCTTTAAGTTCTCTAGTCTGACTACCAATGCGTCTAGGAAGGCCAGTTGATTGTCCTCTTCTATCTCCATTGTGAATTTGATTTTGGGGTGAATGCTTTTTAGGTGATTTTGGAACACTGCTAGTTCTGTTATTCCGTGGCTTCATACCACGAAGGTATCATCCTATAAAACCGCACGCTCATCCAGTTAACCGATCAGTTTCAGTCGATCCGCCAAGCCGAGCACTTCGCTCTCTGAAGATGGCTACCGCAGATGTAGCCAAAAGCTATGGACCAAATCCAACCGACCACGGCTCAACAGCCTGAAAAACCTAAATTACATTAGGTTTAGCCGTGAAAGCCTTCACTCTTCAAGTCTATGATTTTTTTGTCACCAAAATCTCAGTCTGTAGACAGGATGAAAGTGCATTCTACAAGCATGGTAGTATGGACTTGACATCAGTTAGTTTTGTGAAACTTCTGTGATTAAATTCGCTTTCTTCTCGGCAGGGTTATTACATAAAAAACCTATATAATGTCAAAAAACCGATAAAATAAACTTTTTGACTAAGTAGTTAATTATAAACAGAAAGTTAACTTGTAGTTGCCTGCAAATACGTATTTCAAGTACTTTGACAGCGCCAGTTAACTCACCAGAAGTTCATCATATATACTCAGTAACATTAGAAGTGTTACACCCAGAAAGAATAATTTCTTCAACTTGATTTTCTGGAAACGAGGTAGTCTTTCATCAAGAACGGGACGATAACATTCTCACGAAGTTTTATTGATAGGTAACAAGAACAAAAATTGATAATGTCTTGGGCGACCCCGCAGCTGAATACACTCCTGTATGCGTCTAGGCATCGACAAAATGAGATGATCGATGTCTGGTTGTGGCACCTCATTCCAAGCAACTCGAACTACGTGAATTAGCTGTGGCAAAGTCCGTGGCAGATGGTGCAAAGTGGATAGTTTTATCCCCATCATATCCCGCACATGTTCGATAGGATTTAAATCCGGTGAACGGGGGGCCACGGCAAAACATTAACGCCTGCTTCTTGAAGAGAGTCCGTAGTACGACGAGTAATATGGGGACGTACGTTGCATTGGTGAAAAAGGACGTGTGGACGGCACTCTAGATATGGCAGTAAAGTGGTTTGTAGGACATCATCAACATAACGCACAGCAGGCATATTGCTTTGAACAAAGAGATCGGCTACCATAGGCAATAGCCCCCGAAATCGTTACTCCAACAAACCTGTCTACATGCCTCTCAACAGCAAATTCTATATCACGGTGTTCCCCACAGCGGCGTCTTACCCTCCTACGGTAATCGTGCGTACCTAGACACAATCGCGATTCGTCGCTGAAGATGACATTATACCATTCTGCCTCCCAATGTTACCCTTCTCTGCTCCAGTTCAAACGTTGACCCCAGTGGTCCGCAGTCAGAGGAAGCACTAACCGTGGACGTTATGGAAAAAGTCCAAAGGTTTTAATGCGAAGATACGTGTACGTGAGTGTACGCATAGTTACAGAACTTCATTCTTCTCCAAACCACAGCGATCGGATGCGGCCGACCGTCTTCTAACCACACACAATACACACGCATTACCGTCATTGCGGTGCAATTAAAACTGCGGCCGATTTAGCGATAGGACAAATCAACATCTCTATAGGCAATTATAGACATGTCAGAGTCGCTAAAATGGTGAAATTCTCTTCGAACTTTGTTTTGTTTAACACTAGTAGATGAAAGGGCAATAACTAAAAGTATCTGTACTACTCAGCTCTTAGAAATCGCTTTATTAACAAAAACTAAGAGATAACATTTTAACAAACGTAAAGAAAAACAAAGATAAAACGTTTCATTGTTGCCACAGCATGCTTTAAATATAGCCTTTATAATGTCAAAAAAAAACAAGTTGAAGAAATTATTTTATCAGAGTGTATCACTTCTAATGTCACTTAGCATATATTTATGTTGCAACTCTGCATGTGTGGTTCTTAGATATAGCGTTCTATGCAATTTGTGTGCTCGGCGGCTGTGTCTTGTGTCATATTCTCATACCGTCATACATGACAGCTAGACTTTTTTTAATGAACTTTTATAAAATAGTTGAAATTTGTATAAAACCTTTGTCAAGCAAGGTAGGGTTTTTCAAAGATTGCTTGTACAAATGATAGTAGTAGACTCTATAGACGGGATTATGGAAATGGTGATGGAGAAGGTGGCAAATGCAATGTCTAATCAACCTTACTTAGGTCAGAAAATACACTAAAAATACAATTAATTTTGTTAAATATCGTGTTTGCCACTTTTTTAGCATCACTTCTATAATCTACGACCCAAAAATTAAGGACTTCAGCAGGGGAGAAAAAATACGCCTATTCATGTTGCGAATATTTACCAAAAACTGTTTTCTAGCAAGGAGAAAGAGAACAGCATAATGAGCTCAAAATTTCTCAAATGTTGAGGAAATGATGGCAAGTAAAAGCAAAAACCTAATGAGAGCAAAAAAGTGGCTTAGTTTCCTGGAAAGATAAAGTTCTGTTTGTACAGTCGTTTTTGTAAGACGAAATCTTAAAAAGAGATGCAGATCGTCAAATTCGTCGAAGTAATTCGGCCCACCCATGGCGGATTATATTTGGCCCTTCTTGTCACTTCGTTTATGCTATACGTAATCATGTAATCGTGTCGTAATCCATAAACATGGTTCAGCTTCAATTTATCTGAATCGATAAATTGATATGAATGTGTGAATAAACCTCAAAGTCTGTGTGATACATACGTCAGGTTTTGCTTTTTAACCACATGCTTTCTAGTAATCGCATAGATGGTCTGCTGGAAAAAGTTAACTACCGTTTTACTGAATGCAGATAATTGTGGTGTTACTTGGTATCAGAACATGGTACTTCTTGCATAATTTGCGAAGACCGACACAATGCTATTGAAGGTAGATTTTTGCACCGGTAAGTATAATTATTATGTTGACATAACATTTGTCACCTTGGTAGTCAAATTTTAGTCTAATGCTTCAAGAGTATGCTCTATGGCTACGCAATTTTGGCGACAAATAATGCAATGTAAGCATATAGGCTTGACCCTCTCAAATCTATTCGAATTCGTTGTCATTTCGCAACCATTTTGCAGTTACATAATAAGGGTGCCGATTCAAGATACTATGGACGCAGAGTAAAACACATATAACAAAGAAGCTCACGTGACCGTTTAGCAACAAGTAGACATGACAGTGCTTATTCGTAAATTTAATATCAATCGCATTATCACAGAGTTGCAATCCCATGAAAATCTTTGCATTAATGCACTTCCTGTTTACATCCACCCTATTATAGATTTGGATGGGTACTATTAGAGGTATCCTAACGTACGAAGGACTACGTACCGCCACAAAGGTACCAAGCGTCAGTGGAAAGAATTTTCCGATAGTCAAATAGACAGGCCTTCCCATTCTACTCATCATTATTATCACGCATTGCTTGAATCTCCGACTGCTGCTGTACCAGTTGCAATCATAAACTGCTTGATTGTATGAAAAACACTGAAATTATCATAAGTTACGCCTGGGGCCTGATTCTAAACCCGTTTCGACCGTTTAAATCTATTTCGGTAACATCTTGTGACGATATACTTGATTCACTATGATAATTTTGACACTGCAGATAATTTGAATATATACCTAAGACCCATATTATCAATCATATGTAAAAACCATGATAGCAAAATCAAGTATAATATCATCCGCCATCGGAATCAATTTCAACGGTAGAAACTCATTTAGAATCATGCCCTCCATGGGGTGTATCTTGGCCTTCCTAGCACATTTCTCGAATTTATTCATAGCCATTTTGCATTAATGTCACGAAATTGCGTTGAGGCAGCGTTGAATTTTCTCCTCAAATGCACGATTATCTCGCATGCTGGCATAGACGTTTGACTTCAAGTAACCCAAAAAGGTATTCAACGATGTTGAAATCAGAAGATCCATGTGTTCACTAATATTCACCGAAGAAAGAGAGAGCACAAGAGCAGGAAATTGTCTTAGGTAGCAGTCGAATTGTTTTTTTGAATTTGTGGTACATTATATACAGCAATATGTCTTTATACCGAAGCAGACGCTTAGGCGAAAGCCTAAATACCAGAGCACCGCAGCTTCTGTAAGGAATTTAAAACCACTTTGAGGATGGAAGGCCGAAGTTAGGCGGCTCTGTCTGGTAGGCTCATCGCGCGGCGGCATCATGGAGGACAGTTGTGAAGAGCAAATCTCGTTGACATAGCGGTAGAAGAGAGCCAGATCGACGACGCGTTGGTGGGAAAGGGTCCCGAAGCTGTCCATTAGGGAAGAACTATCGATCAATCAGACAACCTCCCTCTGAACATCGAGCATGGATAATGTAGTCGGAGCGTCAGCACCCTAAACATGTGAGCAGTACTCGGGTATAGGTCTTATCTGGGTCCTACAGAATGAAGTGGTTACGTTTCCTCAAACGTACTTCTTAGTTCTAAGCAAATAGCCCAGCCTTTTGAGCATTTTGCACCTCTCCATCACCTTATTTATAACAGAAAGCAGACCTATAAGCCTGTAGTTGTAAGAGTCGGTCTCAGATCATGACATGGCTTTACAGTTTCATGGGGAAGTACCGGATTCCTGAGATAGCTGGTAGGGACGCGAAAGAACTGGAGCACGCTCCGCTGCACGTCTATTCAGTATAACAGTCGGAATTAAAGACCAGAAGCTTTGTTAATGCCAAGTGACAAGAGCACTTGTCCTACGGTCTTATGCATGAAGGTTACTTCCCGCATAGTTTGGAGAAACATTTGAAACGGGCGTTGGGGGGAGGGGGGATACGTATCCCATATATGCTGGAAGTAGCGCACAGTGAATTTAAGCAGGAATCTAACGTTCGGTCAACAAAGTTCAGTAACATTTATGCAAAATGGCCATGGTAAGTCTCGAGAGTTGCACATGTGCCAGCAACATCTAGCATGAATTTTTTGTCACTGTCAATATGGGCCAACAGATAACATTTTGAGAGTGTTTCTACTGTAAAAACTTACCGCTTCCGTGACAAATATCCCAAAATAGCAAATCATGAACAACTCAAAGAAAGCTCCAGTAGCATATTCAACCAAGTGAAAAACTTCAGGGTCGCCAAAAGCCAGAGTAGAAGATATAAACAGACATGATGCTATTACAATGAGTGATGTAATCGCTCTCGCAAGAAGAGTTATGTTGAAGATACCTTCTATATCTTGACAAGCACTATAATCAAATAAAAAATATCAGAGAAGTTTTTTAGCAAGAACACTTGGTCAGAAGTTGATATAAAAATTACCGAGTCAAAAAGATACAAAAGTAATCAAAGCAGGTAGGTCTAAGTTTGACAGACCTTGAACGTGATTTTTTTGTTGCGAAAAACTCTAAAGGACATAAAGGCCGAACGTTCAAAGATTTTTCTTCTGATTAAGATGGTAAACTTTACCTCAGCAATATCACGAGATCTTGATTGCACCTCTTAATTTCAAAGTACATTTGTTCCTCAAACTCAGGAATATCTTCATCAGAGAGAAGTTCAAAACCATCTGGAAGGTTCATTTTTCGAACTATCCGTTCTCGCATAGTTCTTGTAACTTCACTCAGAATTTCTATTTTAGCCCTGACACAGCTTACAAATGAGTAAAGGGTTGTATCATGAGCTACAAAAATGTGTTAATAAGATAAAAAGCTTTATCAAAAAACTAAACCCAGCCCAAAAATGATCAGTAACTTGCAAAGCAAAGTCGTAAATATTCATTTTTATTTTCTAGGCCGAGGAAGTATTGTCATCTCCAAAAATTGTCACTAATATCTGTCGGTCGGCCCTTCCTTGGCACGTCTATAACTTGGAAAGTACTGCTCGGGTTTTGATGAAATTTGATAACAAAAACAAAAGAAAGAACACATCAGGGGATTATGGACTCGATTTACAAGAAACGGATTTGGGTCGTGATTGCAGATACGCGAGAATTTTGTATATATTTCTCCAACCATTTCAGCTTAAAGTTCCTGGAAAAATATTCCACCCAGTCGGGTAATTTGGGGAACTGACTTCGAAATCGCCTCAACTAGGTCGGTTCTGCGAAATTTTTGACAAATGGACTATGAATCTGCAGCATGTGTTGTATCCAAGTTAACTTTTGAATATTCTGGTGTCTTTATTATTTGAGGGCTATGAAAATCGTTGTACCTTGATATATGACCGTAGACTAGAAAAAGTATCAGTGAAAAGTTGTATTACTGATTAAAACAAAACTGTGGACTCTTTTATTATTCGTCAGCCATGGGAATCCTTACAGTTGGTGATGTTATAGTATGAGTTGTTAAGTTGAAATTATTTTCAAATAATGGGCTCTGACTATATGGTACGTGATATCTGGACAATTTATGTACGTCCTGGTGGCATTATATCGTCGCACGTCGTCAACGACCTCGATTACGATGTGAATGGGGCACCGTAGCCGCTGCTGAATTCTTAGCAGACCCTCCACAGGTAAAGGATATCGCGTGTTTCTGAGAAGCTCGTGATGCTAGACCCACAGACGTAAATATACTAAGTGACATATAAATCCGAACACCCAGTTTAAATGGTTTTATTTTAATAAAAGTTTATCTTACTGTAAATAACAAGTGAAAAAATTTTCAGCCTTATCAGTTGGACGGTCCGGTTTTTATACAGCTTTTTTTTAATTCACTAACGCTCTAAAAATGAATATTTCAGCCGCAGTAAAGAATCAACGTTGGCGGATTTTGGTTCTTGACATCCTTTACGATCGGTTTCGATGCCTAGAGTACGGAGACCTGTACGATTTCGTCAACTTAGTGAGTTTGATAGGGGCCGTATAGTGGGACTTCGGGAAGCTGGACTTTCTTTTCGGGCTATTGCAGTTAGAGTGCAAAGAAGTGTAGACACTGTGGTCAGGTGTTGACAGGCATGGCTTCGAGAAGGCCGTACGCAAAGAGCAAGGGGCACTGGACGCCGCCGTAGAACAACAGACCGTGAAGATCGCCGCCTAAGATTATTGGCCTTAAGGGACCGCTTCTCCACTACCAGGTCCATTGCAAATGAATGGTTTGCAGAACACGGAAGACCTATTGGCATGCGAAGTGTTTACCGATGAATGAGAAGTTTTGGCTTGTTTTCATACCGGCCACACTGGGTCCTCCCTTTAACTCGAGAACACCGATGTAATCGCCTTGAGTGGTGCAGACAACGGTCACTCTGGGATCAGGAATGGAACAGTATTGTCTTTAGTGACGAGTCTCGATTTTGTTTAGGCATGCACGATGGTCGTGCCAGGGTTAGAAGGCGACGTGGTGAAAGGAGGAATCCACAGTTTTCTGTTGAAAGACATGTTCATCAAACTGTTGGAGTTATGGTTTGGGGTGCTATAGCTTATGGTTCCAGGTCACCTTTAATCTTCATCAGAGGTAACATGAACGCGCAGCGTTATATCCACGAAGTTCTAGAACCCCATCTTTTACCCTATCTTGACACCCTGGCAGATCCAACTTTCCAACAGGATAATGCCCGACCACATGTCGCAAGAGTCACAATAGACTTCTTTCAACATAATAATGTCACATTGTTACCATGGCCACCAAGATCTCCCGACTTGTCCCCAATTGAGCACGTGTGGGATATGATGGGTAGGAGATTCCTCAATTTTCAACGTCCTCCTCAGACCCTAGAAGCACTTCGAGAGGAGTTGGTGGTTGCCTGGAATGAGATACCACAGGAGGACATTGACCACCTGTTGTATAGTATCGTGTTTTTAGTACCTGGTCTTGTGCTGCAACTAAAAGACTCTGTCTCGCCCTTTAGTCCAGAGCTCTGTAACCACGCCATTGTCGCCTGTTTGTCTATGGATGGCTTATCAATGTTTCTGAAAAATTGACCGTGCAGAGGCGTGTTTCTCAAGACTTGCGTTTTTCGATTTCAGCGTTACGGCGCATCGTGTCTTTTATGTTTTGACCGAACACATCAGAGTTGAGATACTTAGCTTTGATCTTTGTAGCTTCCCTGTGAAGCGAGTATTTCAGTTTTTCCTCATCATGATGCATAACAGCTTTCAGAAGTTTATCATTACTGGATCTTATATATTCGCTCAGCTGAACTATCTCCGAGTTGAAAGCAGACTCTAGCTCTATCAGTCCTCTCCCGCCTTCACGCCTTCTGATGTACAATTCTGAACATCAGCTTTAGGATGATGAATTTTGCCCATGGTAAGGATCTTTCGCATTTTCCGGTCGATTTTCGCAACGTCTGATCTCAGCCAGTCAACTATCACAGGTACAGCTAGTGCGTTGATAGGAGAAAACTTATTTTTAGAGCTCAACTCTGTCTTCAGGATTTGGCGAGTTCTTTGATAGTACTCTTTAGTAACTCTGCTCTTCATTCTTTCATTATCAATCCCATCTTTCTCCTTAATACCAAGGTACTTGTACGATTCTCCTATGTCTAAATTTCTTATGGATGTATCGTCATTTAGCCTGATGTTCTGGCTCTTCACCATTTTTCCTCTGCTGTATATTACGGCGGCACATTTATCTAAAACAAATTCCATTTTTATGGTATCACTGAACTCCTTGACAAGAGTGAAAGCTCGGTTTCATTGTGCCTCATCCTTGGCGAATGTCTTCAGATCATCCATATACAGGGTGTCCGCAAAGTTGGGGTTTTCTTTTTCAGAAACAACTACCCTTGAAATAACAAAGGTAATGTGTAGTGAAACGAGGGCGACCAAGTAAAAAAAATAAAGGAAAAAGTACTCACTCTCCAGTTGACGAGAAGGGCTAAGTACGTCTCTGCCCGAAATCATACGGCTCCAACAGAAAATGAAATCAGCTGATGCGCTACCGAGCAGACGCAGAAACCACATTGATTGTCTTACACTTAATGGCACATCTTCTAACAAGGAAGGCAAAATCTTGCGTAAAAAGTCTAGGTATTGCATCCCGTCCAATCGATTTGGGAGAATAAATGGTCCAATGAGCATACCGTTCACCATGCCAGCTCAAACATTCATCGAAAATGTTGAAAATGTGCCCGACGGACAGCGTGCGGATTTTCTACTGACCAAACATGAGTGTTGCGAAAGTTATTCACCCCATTACGCGTGAACGTAGATTCGTCTGTCACCAATATGCACTTCAAAAAGTCCGGATTATTGTCATGTTGATGCAACAACCACTTACAAAACCGCACTCTTGCTGGAAAATTGTCAGGTGAAGGGCTTGTACACGTTGGACGTGAAACGGATACAGGCCCTCTTCACGCAGCGTTTGCCACACTTTAGTTTTTGATACTTGCACTTCTCTAGTGCTTGTTGAGGGATTCTCGTCTAGGCGATTACCTCTAGACGCGTGACCGTAACCGTCGGTTGAAGGTTGCATAGTGACCTGACACACTGACCCCGACCCAGTTCTGTCGTCGGGTTGAGCCAGTGACCTTGTACCAATCGGTGATGTCGCGGCTACAGGACGGTATTCAGATATTTTTGATGTTGCAGAGCCCTTTATCTCGGTTCCCTTAAGACATTGCTGTATATGGTACTAAGAAAAATTGCTTATGTTTTCAAGATCTACACGTCGTGTAAAGGAAAACCCCAACTTTGCGGACATCCTGTATAATAGGTGTCTAACTCGAGTTGATTGGTCGACAGTGAACCCTACACCTTCACGATTCAAGATGTTACTGAGAGGTATTAATGCAAGGCAAAATAACAGTGGCGATAATAAGTCGCCCTGGAAAATACCCGTTTGATTGCTATCTCTCCTGTTTCAATTTGGCCTTGTTGGTGGAACAACACCATTTTAGTCCTTCATGTTTACATTGACCTTTCAACGAATTTAGTTATTGACGGTGACACGCAGTATATTGTTGTTCCTCTGGCAGTATGTTGTTTCCAGTCAAATGGGTGTACATGCGAACTGCTAAAGCAGATGTTATAAGCTTATACATCGTTGGCAAACATGTAATAGGTCTATAATTCTTAGCTTCCTGCGTGTCTGCTCCTTTCGGTAAAAGGTAAGTTGTTCCAGCTGTTAGCCAGCTTGGAATACTCTCAGAGTTATCCAGTATTTCGTTTATCGCTCGAGTTAGGTCTTCATGCAGCGCTGTTAGTTGTTTGAGCCAAAAGTTTGGTAATTTGTCAGGTCCTGGGGACTTCCAGTTCCGAGGTTTGTTACTGCTTGTTGTATTTCTTCCATCGAAAGCTGTTGCCATGTTATGGGCTCAATGTTTTCAGAGCCATTCCTCTCACGTTCAATCCATGAGGCGGGCTTATGGTGAACTTCCTGTTCAAGGATACCGCTCCAGAAGGTGTTAAGTTGAGGTTGTAGCGGAGGATTCAGTACCTCCCTGTTTTGGCTGTTAAGCTGTCTGTAGAATTTTTTGGTGTCTTTGTTGAACGTTTTGTTTTGATGGTAATGGTTACTCCTCTTGGTATACCGGGTGAGACGTTGTATTTTTGCTGCGATTTTCATCTTATTGTGTGCTTCCAGTTCTTGCGGGCTCATATTTCCCTTATAGGCACTCTTCAAGGAGTTGAATTTATGTCTGACCTTCTGGGAGGCACCTACTTTTTTGTACTCATGGATGATAGACAAGTCCTTTCGATATGACTCTACAGAATTTTTTATCCGTCTCTTCCATGGG